GCATGATCAGATTCAACGTAAGTGGTCCAATAGGACCTGCAGGTTTGTACTGAGCCACGCCAACGATAGCTTACTGCTATGTGGTCGATCTGGGTTAGTGTGCCAGATTAACTTGACCGCCAAGTTGCTGTCCGTTGAGAGCTGTGTCAGAAGTTGATGCTGGATAGGAACAGATGAAGATCTGCGCCGAACGAAAGAAGTTGATTGCCTTTATCCGTTCGAAGGCAGGGTAGAGCATAACGAACGCCTAGGCAAGCTTCCGATGGGCTCAGTTTTTCAACTTGAGCGTTAAAATCACCAGACTGGTCCCCAAAGAGTCCATTGCACGCACCAGATACGCTTGTTGACCTACCTGCATCAGAGTCCTTTCGTTGAAGGCTCCCATGTTCAGTGTTTGACGAGGCTTCAGAATCTGCAATCTATTTTACGGTAAACTACTTACCAGGCTATTTGGCGCCGAACTTCGGCAAGCGACGAACAAGTTGTCTGAGGGAATGTTACGGATTAAAAGAGGGGGTAAAGGGAGAGGGTTGGGAACGGAAGATAAAGAATTAAACAAAGGTTGGGATAAACCTTACATCATCTTACCGGGCTTTTAGGGCATCGGTCATTCGTAAACTAAATTAGCCCAAGTGCGACCGTGGGTGCATGCCCCCAGATTCTAGGAGTCGAATGTGAGAGTTCTGTAAACACGCAAAATATACCCTCAAGAGACACGACAGTATATTCGCACTAATGTACTTTTACTAACAAAATCCCTTTACACTCCAGCAAAAACTAATCCTAGTGCATACCGCGTGGGTTTACTGAGACACAAAAAGCCATGAAGCTACGCGACAGCTCTGCTGTCGTTCGATTCATCCCATGTGGGTTAAACTACGTAAACACCGATCATTGAAACTTTTAGTCGATGGATATCTTCTAATCGCAAATTCAAGACCTCAGAACTATAAAGCAGAATTGAACAAACGGTAGCGTAATAAACGCGACCTATCAAATTCAGTGAAATTGCATGTCTACATCAAAGGTGTTTCAGTCCTGCGTACGCTGCTCTAGCCTTGGAAATGCGGCCGTTATCTCACTTGCTGCGCTATCGCCGTCAGTCACAACTACCTTTAGGCGTCCCCCATAAATTGGAACGAACAGACGATGTCATCAGCGTACTCCAAATCGTATGGCTTTTCTCTAGCAGTCTATTCAATACCTACGTTTCGGAGACCACTTAGTGCGTTCTCCAGTATTTTGTCTACGACGAAATTGAGCAGGAATGGCGAAGTGAGCACCCTTGACGAACGCCGCTGCGGGTGACAAGCGGCCTACTTAGATCGTTGTAAACTCTCACTCGGGTACAGCGATCTCAGTAGGTGAACGTATTTCTGGATTATTCCTTTTCGAAGAAGGGAACCTACACACACACGTGCAATGAAATGCAGCGAAGTCTAATAGGATGAACAACTGCACATGACTTTCGCTCTTGTTTGAGCTCATCTAGTAGTGCATAACTACCAGCCCGTTGGTGAGTTGAACCCGATCTCACAAGGAAGGCGTATAAAACACGAATATAAAAAGTAGTTCCAGAAACCTACCAGCTGACTGTCGGGACTCTTTCGGTGACTTAGAAGATCTAAAAATGATAGGTACAATGATACAGGAAAATTGTAAGAGTTTCCAAATAGAAGTAGCGTGTCCCTGGAACCTAGAGAAATAAGAAAAGACGGTATTTTCTATTATTCAATGTATAATCTAAACAAGAAATAACAACCAAGTTGTTCCATTCGATGCCTGTGATACTATTTTGCCATTTTGGCAGCGATCAGTGAAGTTCGCCTCACTGTATTACACTACAATGATGATGATGATGATTTTGCCATCTTATATTGTTTTCAAAACGCTCGTGTTCTGTTTTTAGAACTACAACGGAAGATTTCAGCGTCAACAGGATACTAGAACAGGATTACTTGGGATGCTTCACCACCGTTATATATGATTGAGATCATTTCGGAATATTGATCCAGATTCACATCACTATGACGCGACAGGATTATCCTCCACTTTAGGTTGCCAAAATATTGGACCGGCTTATGTGAAGCAAGAGAACGCGAAATCGTAATCACCAAAATAGGGCAGGGTTCTTCAGAACCCTTTTATAACCACCCATTCAGTATGAGCGTTATCTGGGTGTATCCTGGCAGTCACCTGAGCATCCCGAGTGACCCGCTCGAGCGTCACCTGAGCGTCCAATTGGACACATTTTGGAGATGCCCGGATGACGGTCGTATAACAAATTTGGCAGCAACGGTGTATATTTTTTCAGGTAACCCATAATTACAGACCCGTTAGTTCCGAAACGTATACGATACACTACTGTTTAGGTACTTCAACCGTGATCTAGAAAACTATCCTATTAATTGCATGCAGGGTTTGCTGCTCTTAGTTTATAATTTTCAGTTACTATATCAATTCTACACAATAGGCACTAACAGCTGTACGATCAGTACCTTTCGCATCCATCACAATGAGGTGTATTATAACTGGATTTAATTGTTATGGTGTAAACATCACATGATAAAAACTAAGAATCTGATCACAATAAGAACTAATTTATTTTCTCCGGATCATATCTTTAAATCTGTATAAGTAATTCGAAAAAACCACGCAATCGAGCATTCATTCAATGTGTTTGTCTCGATACACAAACCTATATATATAAACCTATGTGAGGGTGTTGATATTGAAAACAATTTATTTCATCTTATTACCTGGAGCGGAATGTCGATAACAAGTTTGTTTCGCCTACTGCTTCATAGCTAAGTAGTTTGAAATACGTCAGTTTATTGCATGATACAAGTCATAAAGAAGGTAACCTACTTGTATAAGCTTTGAAATCCTTTCGAAATCGACTGTCGCGACATCATTCAACAGGTTTTGCTGTTCAGTCTCATTCAGAGAATCCCAAAACGTGAAAAGATGGCCCTGTCCGAAGGAAGCCGCCAAGGCAGCAGGCGACAGCTCGGCAGGCATTCCGATGTGGCCTTCAAATTGAAACGCCGCCTTCAAGGTCAG